TGGTGGGGCTTCTGGAAGTTAAAGTCCAAAATGTCTAAAGTCCCTGTCATACACCTTCAGTTATCAATAACAAACTAAACAGGCCAACTAAACAAATAGATTTGGTTCCTTCCACCCCAACTCCATCCAGGTCCATTGTACAATGCACCCACTTAGGCCTACAGCAGATACAGCAGGCTCAGGTGACTAGGGCCAACCCACATCATGTTGCTGCAGCGGGCAGCAACGCATTCCCCATAGTCTGGACCTCTCAGGAACAGAAAAGAGATGTCTATGTAGGAGAGAAGCTTGTTGCTCCCTTCCTTGGTAGACTGATAAAACTTGGTGTGAGGTATGACAACATACTATGAAGTACCTATCTAGTTCCTGCTAAGAATGAATTGAAAAGAGGATACACACCATTGTCTTGGGCGTTACTTAATAGGCAGAGAGAGAAGAAAAGGGGTACAGACTGAAGCCTATGGGGTAAAGTATGCAGGGGTAGACAAACTGTCCCCTTTAAGGGCCAAGGGACTTCAGCTCCCAGAAGCCTCAGCCATGTTGGCCAATAGTCTGGGATTCTGGGAGCTGAAGTCCCTCAGCCCTTAAAGGGGACAGTTTGCCTACCCCTGGTATAGGGACTGCAGGTGGGGCAGGGGAAGTGTTTTGGATCCCAGGTTTTAAATAAGCTGATTTTTGCTGCTGTTGTTTTTGTTAACCGCCCAGAGTGGGTCTCGACACAACATCTTACAGCTTTACATCCTAGTTCATCAATAGAATTAAAGATACTGAATAATATATATTTTTTTGGCTCTCATGGAATGATTTTTGCTGCTCTCATGGAAATCACTAGATTGTCCCAGAGCTGGTGCTGCAGTTCCTTCCATGAGACGAGTATGAGATTATTTTTTTAATGGGAAGGAGAAAATAGTCAATTTTTACTGGACCCAGGGAGCCCATTAATGGATATCCATCTCATTGTTCCACTCTGCATAGATGCTTAGCAATAGCAAATGCAATTGCAATAGCAATAGCAATTGCAATAGCATTTACATTTCTCTATCGCATATCATCGAACTCGGCACTCTAAGCAGTTTACAATGTGTAAGCTAATTGCCCCCAACAAGCTGGGTACTCATTTTACCGACCTATGAAAGGATGGAAGGCTGAGTCAACCTTGGAGCCCTGGGATTGAACTCACAATCTTGTGGCTGCAGTACCGGCATTGAACCACTGTGCCACCAAGGCGCATAACAGTGTATAAGTATAAGTAGATGCTTATGGTTCCTTGCCTCCAGATGCCACTATGTCAACTCAAGATGGGATGGGGAAAGGGATTAAAAACTCATGGTATCTGGCAACTGAATGTTCTTCCTTTCATTGGCCCTTTGGTGGGCCTTAAGTGGCCCCTTGCCACAGTCAGGAGAAGAAGATGGCTGCAGTAATATATGGTTATACAATAAAATTACTAACACCAGGACAAGCTAAATGCGATATAACATTTTTCACACCTTTTAGTAAATGGCAGCAGCCTTGGAAGCTGCAACTGGAAGAAAAGGAGAATTGGGGATGGGGTGCCCAGCATAGCTGTTTCTTCTACATACATTTTTTCACATAAAATGTCTTCCAAGCTTACTTGTATGCCCTCCAGAGAAAAAAATACAGCTGTGGAAACACAGCTTGGGTGAAATGTAAAGTGGATTAATAACTGCAAAGTGAATTGTACAAGCATCCACTTCCTCTGGTACTCTTTTGTTCCTGAACATAGCACCCAAGGCTGCTTTTTATTTAATACAAAGAAAATGTTTTGGATGAAAAAGAACCACAACTGCATACTATACTTTGTCTGGCCTCATTCCCAGATCTATGAGGACTAAGGATCTCAGTACAGCTTTTGTGGGTTCATGACCAGGACAATTTAAGACATTCTGGTGTCTGATGTATGAAATCCAAATCTAAATAAAGCAATACATTAAATCATTAATTTGTGCATTTTTAAAATGAGTCCTAAGTAATAGCAGTCCTAAGATGGACCACTTCAGCCTATCTAACAGGGTAAGAATTTAACATTAAGAACCATTCATGTTTTCCATTTTAACTCCCATCCCCTCTTTTCTGTCATTCCTTTTTTAAAAAAAGACTATAAACCTGAGGACAAGGGGCTGTGATACTTTGCTTTTGACACATACGCTGCTCTGAAAACCTGTCCAGGTGTACATCAGAATAGAAATACTATCAATAAAATAATAACAGGCCAGTGCAACCCTAATTGTGCCAGTTACTGTGATGTAAAACCAAAATACTAGTATACATATTAGCCTATATCTAGAAAACAATATGCAGTGTTGTAGGCATATTAATCAATCTTTTAAATTATATTTTCTAATTTTGTTGTTGAATGCTATTGCTTTTAACTGCATCTAGACATACCTGAGTAGTCTGTAAACTTCATTTCTCTTTGACTGTAATATGGGGACAACACTAATCTGCACTGCAAAAGCAATGAGTTTGACACTGCTTTAACTGCCACAGCTTAATCCCATGGAATTCTGGGATTTGTAGTTTTGTGAAATATTCAGCCTTCTTTGTCAGAGAGTTCTGGTTCCACAACAAACTATAAATCCCAGGATTCCATAGGATAGAGCCATAGCATTTAAAGATAAAGGTATTTCCAGTTGACAAGGTTGTCAAGTCGTGTCCGACTGTAGGGGGCGGTGCTCATCTCCGTTACTAAGATGAAGAGCCAGTGTTGTCAGAGGCTACTCTGTGATCATGTGGTCAGCATGATTGCACAGAACACTGTTTACCTTCCCACTGAAAAGTGGTACTTATTTATCTACTTGCATTTGCATGCTTTCGAACTGCTAGGCTGGCAGAAGCTGGGACTAGTGACAGGAGCTCACCCCATCATGTAGCACCCGAGCCTTGAACTGCCAACCTGCCGAAATTGCAATCAATAGAGTTAGCGTCTTAATCTAACACTAATCTTAAACCACCCCATAGCAATTAAGGTAGTGTTAAATGGTATTATTTCTGTAGAGCAGATTAGACAGACCTAAGTTAACATTGTATTATTCCACTTGGTTATCCTCAGCATATTCAGTTTTGTTTGGTTTCAGAAGCTAACAGAGTCCAGCCTTGTTAGCACTTAAATGGGAGATTTCAAATGAATACTTAGTGAACCCCCTTGTGCTCTTGGTTGAATGCTCTGCCTGCTTCCCTCCCCTTGTTCTGGTCTTCTCTGTTATCGCTCTCCCTGTACTGGCTCCGTTTGAAGATGCATACATTCCAGCCACTGTAAAACCATGAGCACGCCCAGCCTCTTCTTATATCAGAAACTAACTAGGGTCAGGCATGGTTATCACTTGGATGGCAGCCCACCAGGGAATGCCTGAAGCCCTGGAGAGCCTTGGTTGCCAGTCAGAACTGACACTGCTGAGCTAGATGAGCCCATGGTCTCACTCACCATAAGGCAGCTTCCTATATTACTATGATTGTTGAAAAAATATCTGGGAAGCTCTGAATATTTAGGAGACGCTATAGAGATTATGATTATTATATATGCACAGTTGAGATCTCTTCTTGCTAGCATCCATTCCCCTTAATGCAGCTGTAGCCAAAGTGAACCACAGAAGCCACAGAAGGCCCCATGAGTATCAGGTTGCAACCTTGAACTAAATATTATCATTAATTTCATTTATACCCTGTCCATTCCCTAAAAACTGGGACTCATGGAATCTTACAATATTTCTAAGAGTGATGGGAAAAACGGGAAAAGAATCAAGGCAAATGTCTGTGATAGGAGGTGGGATTACAGTACACTTGGCAGGCACTGAGCCACAGGCTTCTAGTGAACAAAAGTATGACAACCAGGAGATTGTGGCAGATTGTGGGAACAAATTAGGAACCATGCTTGCATGAAGGAGTTGCAGGCAGGGGACAGAGTGAAAGGCAGAGCATGCAGACCAAATCTTCTGAGGTCATCCCACAGCAGGCAAACATTAACTCACATGCTCTGTGGCTCCCCAAACTACCTTGTATATCGAGCTTGGCTTCACACTGCTTGGTGCCATATTCATTGATGGCCTTGCAGGCATAATAGCCAGCATCTGTGCACTCCACCATGTGAATATGTAGGCAAAAAGAGCCATCCTCCTCTTCCACAGCAGAAATGCGTCGCCCGTATTTGACTGGATGTCTGTTCTTTAGCCTACAAGACAGAACAGAAGGTCTGAAAGCCTGTCATGCTTACAACCTCATCCAGTTTCCAGATACTTCTGCCTTCCTACTAGAACTCATCTAGCCTCACCATTCACCTTAAACAGTAGCATGCCTCACAAAGATGTGTTCTTCCCTTCCTCAGTCTTATTACTGCAACCAACATATTTTGTACATTATATTTGCTGTTGTTAAGTGCCCTCGAGTCGATCTGGACCCATGGCGACTCAGTGGATGAGACATCCCCACGATCCTCTGTCCTCTACTACTTTGCTAAGTGCCTGCAAATCCATACCCGTGACATTCCTAATAGAGTCCATTAATCTGGCATGCGGCCTTCCTCCATTTCTACTTCCCTCCACCTTTCCTAGCCTTATTGTTTTTTCCAATGAGTCATACAGGTCAATAAAATTCAGGAGATCAAAGATCCCATTTTTTGCCATTTCCTCACATCTAGATCTGTCTGTTTTAGGTCTGATGCCAATAGCCCCTACAACAAGAGGAGGATACCTCAGACTCCAGGGGCTGAGATCACCCTGGAGTCCCAATATGGCCCTCTAGTACCAAAGTATACCTTCCTTTCTCATAACACCATTGTTTAGTAGTTTCCCAGCTTCTGTATAGTTTTTTTTCTAGTCTGTAGGGTTGGAATACTCCTCCTCAGGCTTAGGAAGAACTTTGAGCTAAAGGATTCTTTCAGCCCACTCGTAGGCTCTGCCTACAAATGGAAATTCAACCCCAAATAGCTTCTCTGAAAGTCCTTAGGCTGAAAAATATTCTTCCCCTCCGCTTTATTTTAGATAACCAGTATAGCATAATGGTTTGTGTGTTGGACTAGGACTCTGAAGACCAAGGTTCAAATTCCTGCTCAGCCATAGGAATGCACTGGGTGACCATGGTCAAGTCACATTCTCTCAGCCTCAGATGATACCAAAGGCAAACCTCCTCTGAAAATAAATCTTTCCAGGAAAACTCCATGACAGATTTGCCTTAGGGTCACCGTAAGTTGAAAACAACTTGAAGGCACACCACAACAACTGTCTTACTTTACAAGATAAATGCACATGAATTCTTTCTCTTTTGCCATTCTAACATTAAATGCAAACTAATAATTCCCAGATGGTCATAGTGTTCCAAGCAAATGGAAGACTAGGCTTACCAATAATATAATTTAACAAACATTTTTTTAAAAAAACTATTATGACAGCCTACATATTACACAATTGTTAGTTAATTGTGGCATATTGAATTTTGTTTGCAGGGTACAAGTATTACTGTGACTCTTCATTTACTTGAGAGACTGGTGTCTAATCTGGACTGCAGAAATAATACAGGTCAACACCACTTTAACTGTCATGGCTCCATCCTACTGAATTATGAGATTTGTAGTTTGCTGTGGCACCGGAGCTCTCTGACAGATAAGGCTAAACATCTCACAAAATTACACATCCCAGGAGTCCATAGCAATGAACCATGGCAGTTAAAGCAGTGTCAAACTGCATTATTTCTGCAGTACAGATTAGTCCTGAGAGATCCCACCATCACCATGCTTCAGCAACCCACCATTTCATCCATGCCAACATGTGTGCCGAGACAAGACGGCTCCTTTTCAAGGTCTTCTGTACAACACAGCCCACTTACCAGTGCACAATTGGCTTGGGTTCTCCTTGCACCCGAATGCGTAGGACCACATCCTGTCCTTCCAGCACTGCCTGGTCATTCAGTGTCACCTGGAGGAAAGAACCTCAAGTTCATGCCGAGCAACAAAGTAAGCTGGGAAGCAGGTCTTCTCTAAGACATAGTGCACAATTTCTTTGGGATTTTAGCAGTAGGTGCAACACCTTAGACAGAGCAACGGCTGGCATATTTTTATTTTCCTCAGTGGCTGAACAAATGGCTACTGAGGCTGTGCCAGCATTAAAAAACCCAAGGCCTTGACCCCTATTCAAGGGAACAACTGCTTAAATCCTGGATGCTTAGTCAGGTATGCCAAAGCTCCCTTCTCCTTGCTGCCCTCTAAGTTCACCCCCTGCACACACACCCAACTCACCTCAAAGGATGGCGCAGCTTTGAAATTGATGCCCACATGCGCAGGAGTTGGGGTGATTTCAGACCGGGGCTGCACTTTCATGACAGGTTCATGCCGAGGGGTGCTGCACTCTGGGAACTCCTCCAAGGGGCTCAAGTACTCTTCATCAGATGTAACAGGACTGCTAAGCTCATGGCGGGGCACTAATCGGCTGTGGCTCTCTGGGGGAGCTAGACAAGCAGAAAAGCTCAAGGATTAATGTTTATGCAGAGCAGAGCATAGTTGCAAAGTTATCTAACTCAAAGTTGGGAAGTATCTGCATGGAAGCCACCAAACAGTAAGCGCTGGAGTCCACAGGTTTTAGCTGGCAAGCAAAGCAAATTGCAGAATCTGGCTTCCCACATGACAAACCAGCACACTCCTCTGTTTTCCAAGAGTTAAAATGTCCATTTGCTTTTATAACAACAACAACGCATTGATGAGGAATACAAATAGGTCTGACACTAAACAGCTATTAGAATATATTGGTTCCTTCAAAACAGTTAGAAGACAGTCTTTCCAAATGGCACCACTAATGAAATCTATCAAGGATGATTAGTGGCTTATGCCATCTGTAGGGACTATGTAAATGGGCAAATGAAATTGTCTTTCTTCATCCCATGAAAAATACACTGCCCTTCCTAATGGCCATAATCATGCACAGGGATACATTGAGTCCTGAAAAAATTGAAGACATAATCATAAAATCATAAAAAGGTTGAGGCAGCATCTGAGCATCTGCTTAGGAGGCAGATACTATTAATTTTCTTCTTGCAATGCAGGGACATTATAGCCAATAATTCCACATGACTCCATCCCGCTCTACATTTGTGAGATGCAGCCACATGGCCAGTTCTTCCTTACATGATCTTCATCACTGAGATGTTACCAGATCAGCCTGGGACAGACTCCTGGGGAAGCAGCAATCATATCACACCACTGCTTCTCCAACTGAATAGTAACAACAGGAGGCTACAGAAGCAGTATGAGGTCATGTTGGAAGAGTAAAAATTTAAATGCCAAACTCAGTTGAAATATTCAAATATTTAATATTCATAATGATACTTTGAATATGCTGACTCAAATATGTCTGTTTTTTATTCATATGGATGTTTTCAGTAAAAGAAATTAATACTGAAGCTTTTATGTGGTGCAAGCCAAAAAGTATGGAGAGCTCTGATGTAGGATTGGCCCTGCATTGTAAACACTGGCATTAAAAGAAACGGAGCTGGAGTAGTTCCATTTTTTGTTTCTCCTTATCACTTCCCATGACTGTCAAGTCCCAATTTCCTTCCACTACCTACACCAGCGAATGCCCCCTCAGTTTTATCTTTGTATCCTCTTGACTATTCCACTATGCCCTATTTTGCAATTAGGGCACTGTAACTAACCTAGCATGAATTATATTATCTCAATTAGACCTTTTCCATTTCAATTGTGTGGGGCCTAGGGGCTGATATAGAGCAGAGCTATACAATCAGAAACATCACATGGGACAAAAACTAGGCCTGCAATATTTCACAAGCTACATCTTTAAAAGCCAACCTTCCCTGTATGCAGAAAAAGAATACAGTTTTCCCTTAGTTTTTGCGGACTTGAAGTCCGCGACCCTTGCTTATCCGTGAGGGTCACATGGAGGGGCATAAAATGGGGTGCGCATCACGCTTGCCCCCATGGACATGGACCTCCATTCAAGCCAATAGGGCTTGAATATTTGTGTTTTTCCTTTTTTGTGTGTGTGTGTGTGGGGGGGTCGGAACGGATTCCCCACAAAAAAGGAGGGGGTGACTGTACATCAGAGGAAAAGCTATGCTAGAATTCTTTCCCTCTACAAACTAACTTTCCAAAGGCAGGGAAGGGGTTAAAAAAAAAACATGGCAGAGCAGTCGAACTGGTCTCTCTCAACCCAATTTTGCAATATTTCTGAATGTGATATTTGTCTACATATGTGATCATCAATGAAATCCTTACCCCCCAAAGGGTGTACAATCTTTGGCTCTGAAAGAATTGTTGGATTGCAACTCCTATGAATCCTGAGCATTAGCAATGCTGGCTAAAACTCCTGGGAGTTACAGTCCAACAACATCTGTAAAGCCACCAGTTGCCCAATTCTGTTACACAGGAACTTCATCAATTTAGGCTTTTGTCAAAACGATCCCTGTGTGACAACTGCCTCATCAGAAGGAACCATTATTTTCAAATCTTCATCAACCCTCAAGCGTTCTCTTAGTTTAGCTCACCTTATAGAGTTGCTGTAATGAGGTGTTTTGTTTAATATAAGAGAAAGAATATGTATGATGACAGGGAGGGATGAGATTAAATGCAATAAAGCATACCAATAAACAACCATATAAGCCAATTTTTAGGTACATATGTATAATGGAGCTGTTTCAAAGACACATCTCCCTATGCAAACTGAATGTGATAATCATGTGACAACATTATTACTTCAGATGTGTGTGTCGTGTATGTGCCTTCAAGTCTCTTGTCAATTTATGGCAACCCCATGAATTTTATAGGGTTTTCTCAGGCAAGAAATACTCAGAGGTGGTTTTGCCAGTTTCTTCCTCTGAAATACAGCCTACAGCACCTGGTATCTGTTGGCTGTCTCCCATCCAAATACTAACCAAGGCTGATCTTGCTTAGCTTCCAAGATCAGACAGGATCTGGTGCATGTAGGGTGTCTACACAGTCCACAACCTCAGATAGGCTCATAACTAATAAATAAAAACTTGTCTGATCAAATAGCATCTCCATAATGGCTTCATTCCCACTACAAAATAAATCGTCTTTTGAGTCGAATTGATGAAGCGATTTAGCACCGAATAGACATTCACACTATTCGAGCCGTGATCAGATCTACCAGTTTCAATTTAATCTACTTCATGTTCACATTCAGGAATGGATCGATTCAACATGGAGTCACCTCACAGGGGTGACTGCGCCACAGGAACCAAATCAAATAGGCAGCACATTCACACTTGCGCTGAATTGATTCATTTTAAAAAAGGCAGGGAATGCTGCGGATCTGGAAGAACTGGTTTAAATGGGTTTAGAGCTGCACCCCCCTTGGCAAACCACACCAGAAATTCAGCGCAAGTGCGAACAAGGGCCATTTAAACCAGTTCAAATCAGTTTGAAAACCGATTTATTATGTAGTGGGAATGAGGCCATGATGTATATTATTTATGATAAATGTGAAAAATTGGATCTGTTGTGAAATCTGTCTTGCAAGAATGTCTATGTCCTATGCCACAAAATGCAATGGAGGGGAAGCAATGAAGCCCCTTCCCCACTAGTTTTAGAAGACTGCAATGCAGCCTCACCCTGCCAAGACACATGGGCATCCAGGGTTACTCATCAATGGGTGGGGGTGGCATAGAGATAATCCAAAAAACAAGAGATAATCAGGAAGAACTGGGCAGTGCCAGGCTTGGATGGTATCACTCTCTTTTCATACTGGCAGAATTCCTGGTTTGCTCTACTTGGAAGGGGCCAAGGTGACATTAGGAGCCTGGACAATCACAACTTGCAGGCATGGTGTGTGTGTGGGGAGGGGGGGGGGTTGGGACAGACCCAAATCTTGTTATGAGAAGTCAGAATAGCTTGTTTAAAGCTACCCATCTCTATGGCAATGTTACCCTTCAAGCTGAAGAGGAGAGGTGTTTACAAGAAAAGAGGGGAGGTATACTGATCTTGTGCCAGGTCCCAGGTTTAAACTGAGCATCTTTCTTTTGCTCATAGCTGGTCGGTGGAGCAGTGGCCTATCCTATCCCGACAAAATGGTTTGTTTTTCATCATGCTCAG